TTATATTGTTAATATTGATGCATCTGCTGCTGTATTATGTAGTTTCATCCACCTCGGGGTCGGGGTCCCCTTCAAGATAAATCTGAGGGGTGATTGTTAAGATGATTTGTTTTGTGTGACTGTGTGTGTGTGTTAAATACTTGAGAGTTTTACTTACTACAGCCTCAGACGTTTATTTAAATTAAACTATTTGAGGAGTTTAGATTGGAAATGAACAACTCATGGTCACAAGCAAAAACAGTTCAGGAACCACGGTGTTAATATTTAACAATGTATTGTATTTTATATTAGTTTATCATCTATTTTCGTAATGTAAAAATCTTAATCTTTCTTAATCAGTAAATAAAAGTAGTGGAGTAAAGTAGCATAAAATTGTACAGTAATGGAATAAATATAGTTTCCAACAGTAGGAATTTAATGGCTTGATGGGTTTCTTCCTGTTTTAATATCAGTGGAGATTTGATGCTTGACCCCTCTTGACTTTGCATGAAAGATCCTAAATATTTTAAGTAAATGCTCCTTTACCCTCCCACAAACAGCGAGAACTAACAACAACAGTGTAGTTATGCAATGTGATAATCAGAAACTGAACAAAATAAACAAAAACAGAAACCTGAGCTGCTTTAAGTTAATGTTTCAGATGTAACAGGCCTGGTGGAAGACCTGTGAGCTCACACTGACAAACCAGTTAGGGTCTTCTTGGGACGGGAAGTGTGCCCGCTCCCTCTGGTGGACATTATTACAAAATGTACATCTTAGCATCGACCTCAGAACTGAAAGCACAAGACGAACATGAGTGAAAGAGAATGAGTGGAAGCAGACCAGGAGGTAAAGTGGGAAATGTATAAACAAAATAATGTAGATGAGAAGTCACTTAACTATGGTATTTTTAGGTATTTTAATGGATTATATGCATATTTTAGGGGGTTTTAAGGGATTCTTAAGAGGAAATTCCCCTTTAAAATGAACAAACCCAATGAACACCATCCCCTAATTCATTGTTTCATTAGCAGACACATTAATAATTTTGTAACTAGTGTATTTTTAGGTATTTTAATGGAAGTGGCAGAAGTGAGTTTTTACTTTCAGTAGTTAGTTTATTAAATATAAATATTATCGTCTATTTTACTCTTGCAAGATGAACTTATCATAATCAATTAATCAATAGTATCTCAAAGGGGTGGAGACTAAGGCTGAAAGAGACACACAGACATGCACATTGACTGTGTTCAGATGGACAAAACTAATACAGTTTTGCTTTTATTTTGAAATCCCTACTAACCACTGTCTCTTTGAGGTCAGAGGACTCAGCTGATGACCTCGTTGGGCTGAACCAAGTAGAGAGTTGAAGAGAGGGGAGTGGGTGGAGGAGTTTTATGTTTTGGTATTTATTCAGTTTATTATACATTTAGTTTAATCTATATTACTCATGAGACGTGTGTATTATGTAAAATTAGTAAGATTAAATTGTAAATATGTGTTTTAAAGCTATTACAGGAGTGTTTATGTAGCCCTGCACTGTAGAGTTGGTAGAGACCACAGGTATGGATGACAGAGGGGGGGTCAGGTTGGTTATTGCTGCACCTGTAAAACTGCTTATGTTGTCCATCAACCTGCGAGGTGAGTCTTTATGAGCTCAACTGATGTTCGTCTACCGCCATCAAACACCAGATAACGCCAAATATATAAGAGTTTATAGAGGTTCGTTATAGTTTTAAGTTTAATATATGAAATACTTTAACTGTCATTTCAATGTTAGCCATCACTAGAGCAATGAGACTGTGTAATAATGCTCCTTAAAAGAGTTATTGGCTACTACTAATACGATTAGACATGAAATATTAGTTAAATTGTTAATAAACTAGTTAAATTGTTGACTGATCAAAGATATTTAAATTGTCAATGGAAGAAAACACAATATTTATGAATAGTGTCTATTTTAAAACAAATATAAAAAATAAATAAAAAAATTACATTGAAGATTAGGACAAGATAGTGTAATTTTATTGTGAAAAACTTACTGAATGAATCCCTAATAGCATCATTAATATGTTGAAATAAAAGCAAAAAGGAAAGATATGAAAAGATAAACCCAACAAACTTTTATTTTTCTTCTGGTATCAATGGTATATAAAATGTAAGCTGAACAAAAGTATGTTGCACTGCTAATTTATTGCTGATCATAAATAGTAATAGCACTGATTTATAACCTATTTATCAACGTAAGAAACAATAAAATCCAATTAACTTCGGATTAAATTGAATTTATTATCAATTCCAAAGATAGAAATACAAATACAAAGTACATGCCATAAATCTTAACACACTTAACGAACAGGGAGCAACGAGCAGGTTGCAAACTGCATCCTTAATAAAAGAAATAACAAAAAAAATCCTCTCCATTTAAAACAGGAAAACCTTGAGGAAATAGTTCATTTCTTCATCATTTAGTCCCCATTTGTTTTGTTTTTTTGCTCACTGTGCTTTTTTAATTCACCTCCTTTAGTTAAGTGTCTTTAGTGGAAAGAGGAGGCTGTGGCTGCATCAGCTCCTCCTGCAGGGGCTCTGGGAGCGGCGGTGGTTGGAGGGTGAAGAAGACCGGTCCCCGATCCTGAAACATTAAACACAAACGTGTGGTTAAAGTAGGAAGGGTTTCCAATACAGATGGTCTTAAAGTATTCAGGGAGAACTTACAGCAGCAGCCTCTGGTGGAGGAGGGTAATGCACAGCACCCAGGTGAAAGTGGGGGAACATTAAAGGTCCAAAGAGGCCGTCGTTGTAAAGGCCGGCAGGTACGGGGGGCAACAGGGGCATGTTGAGCAGGAGGTTGGGACACGGCACGCGGCAGCTGGGGTAATGGCCTGACATCGTAAATGGGAAGTGAATAACGGGCGGAGGAGCAGTGTGGGTAAACTCACCGAGGCGAGGGGCATCTGGAAGGGAAGGTAGGACAATTATATGGTAGTTCACTCATTTATATAGCTGGGGTTTCATATTCTTACATTTTAGTCATAATTTAGTCTAAAAAAGGCAACGTGATAATATTACTGGGCTGCAACTAACAGCTGTTTTCATTCTTTAGTCACCAATTAATGGTTTGTATATGAAATGAAAGAGA